AACACAGAATATTAAAAGCTGTCAGAGAAAAGAGACAGATGACCTATAAAGGAAAACCCATCAGAATCATGACAGACTTCTTGATACAAACCATAAAATCAAGAAGAAGTTGGAATGAAGTATTCCAAGCCCTGAAAGAAAGTAACCTCCAGCCCAGAGTGATGTACCCTGAAAAACTGTCTGTAAAATTTAATGGAGAAACAAGTTGCTTACAAGACAAAGAGGAACTGGGGGAATTCACGACCACCAATTCAACCCTACAGACAATATTGAAGGACATTCTAGAGAGAGAGAAAAAAAATACTACAATTTCAGGAACAGTGGCTGAGAGACCCCAATGAATGGGGAAGAAATTGGAATGAAAGAGAAAAGCAGATAACTAATGGCAGAAAAATAGCATATCAGAAATGTGGCAGAGAAGGTTGGCTATAGTGTCTAATACAGATGCCCTTGATACACTAAAAAAAACCACAGACACAGGCAGAGTGGATGAGGAGGTAGGGTCCACTGAGATGCTCTGTATAGGAAATACAATTAATCTGAAAAATGGTTTATGGACTGAAAATCAAATATAAGAAAACAATGCTCTATGTGACAGAACCAGAGAGTAATAGAGGCAACTCAATCAGCACCTGCAGATAGCTTGGAAAAACAGACATTGGTAGGTAAAGGAATACAACTTGAGACCAAGTCTAGGAGTTAAAAGCTTTGGTACCACTTAGATAAATAGCAGATCACCCCTCAATCTAAAAACTGAGGGAGTTGCTGGGACCCAAAATGCACAGTATGTACTGTGGAAGTGAAAAGAGGAATAGCTTTTTTAAAAAGGCAGAGGATATTAATAGTGTATCAGGATTTAAAACCCATATTACTCTCACCACTTTGTTTAGATAGATTATATTATGTTCCAGTTGGTCTGCTTACACTAGATTTGAGAGCACAAACATCTATCCCCAAAATACCAGGATATAGTATGGTAATCATCCTTAATTTCCTATTATCTTAATCTAATGCCCTGTGTAACTTACGCTATTTTACCATGACTGATCTTATTTGAATCTGGTTTGTTATATTGCCGTTTAGTATCAACAGATTTTATTCAAATCTGATATGATTGATAGTATCAAGTCTGAGAGTATAGGCAACTACACTGAAAAACACAAGTTTCACTAGGATACACATTCTGATTTGGTTATTCCCTGCTTTTGAAGTTTTATACTATCTACAATGTTTTTAATTAATATATTTATGTACTGCTATATCAATTATACTATGCTTGATGATATAGACAATTTTATTGAAGATAACAAGAGACAACACAATAGCAATTGCAAAACAACTTGTGCTGTGATTTCATCTGACTTTTTTATTTTATGTTTATGGGAATATGTTTTGTTTTGTCTTGCTTTGTTTTGTTTCTCCCTCTAATACAGAAAGAATAGAAATACATGCAGAGATTCATGTATGCATAGAACCTATAAACAGTTTATGAGAGCTGATCATATAATTCATGATGAAATGAACAATTACTTTGACAAAAAGAACATAAGGTACCCAATGCTGATCCAATAGCGTCATGATGTGAAATACATAAATACTATTATTCTTTGTAAAGAATGATTTTAGTCTGCTTTATTTTGCTTAATCTTAACATACATGAAGTTATGGATAACTATTTTGAAGAGCATGAGAGACACAATGACATCCATTGATGACTTTCTTGTTGGCTGATCTTGGAGACCTAAAACACCTTCCTCACCTTGTTCAGATCACTTCTATACTGTTTGTTTCATGTGAATTCTCTGTATGTGAAGATACGGTCAACTAGTTGTAAAAAAAAAGAGACAATATGATAGATATTGAAGATTTCTGATTGTCTTGCTTTGAAATTTATGCCTCTTACTTTCTTATGTTGTTTTGTTCTTTTCTGTTGGATTCAATTTTACCCTCTTAAAATAAAACTAAAAAGATAAATAAATTGTACTTTACCTCTATAGCTATCATTGCAGCCTGTGTTTCTCCAGAATATAGCAGAGGAGAGAGGAGATTTGGCTCTTTCTGTTTCCCAGCCCACATGCTGGAATGGTCTAGTATCTGGCTCTCCCTCAAGCTGTCAGTGCCTGGCACCAGTTTGCAGGGAGGGCTTGCTTCTTGGTGACTTGTTCTCTTACCTGCAGTCCACCAATGGTGTTGACTCATGGGAAAAGCTGGGCTCTGGCCCATCCCCCAGTGGACCGTACATAGTGCCAATTCGCAGGAAGGGCTTGCTTCATTGTGACTTCTTGTTCTCATTCCCTGCAGGCCCTCAAATTTTAGTTGTTATTTTATTAAGTCAATAATTGATGGGGACCAGTGTTATATATCAACATATGTACACAGAATACAATTTTCAAATAAGAATTTTTTCTATGTTTGGAGCTTTTGTATTCTCTTCCAGATCATCATCAAATACATAAGAAGTTATGAATTGTATTCATACTACCATGATAGACAACAGCAGAGCTTATTCTTTTTATCTAGTTCTGTTTTCATGCCTGGTCTATTCTCTTTCCTCATTAATTGGATTGACTACACCAAACCTGAAATTTAAAGGAGAGGTTTCATTTGGCTTCCTTTGTCAGTCTATGCTTGGGTGGATTCAGGAAGAAAGTTGCTCAGATCATGACATCCAGAATGAAGAGAGAGATTGGGGAAACTGGGAAGGAAATATACTCATCCAGGTTAAGCCCCATGTGATCTACTTCTTTTTACCTGGCCCTACAACCTAACAGCAAAGAGGTATAGCTCCTGCACAATTCAGTCACCTTCCAGAAACCCTGGCTATAAGCCCATGATGGGAGCATTGTAATTTTAAATCAGAGCACTTCGATTCCTTCCTTTAAAAACATATGATCATGTCTTTGAAAAAGGTGATTTGATTTAAAAAATAAAGTATAGAGAATTATAAGCTATAAGATTGACAAAACTATTACTGGTGATAGACAGCAGGGGTATAGTCAGCCCTCTTAAGTAATGTTGAGATTGACACAGAGTGACATAAGAAAACATTTTGAGGTTATTTAGGTATGCATTCTGACTGGAATAGTGTTCCTTTAACATTACCTTACCAAATGTTTTGAGCTGTACAGTTAAAAGGAATCCCATCCCTTGGGCCTACAGATATACCTTCATGAATGTGACCCTTAAAGAAAAATAAGATGGGTTGTTTGCAAGTACTCACCCTGGTGAATCCTGGGCTCAGACAGGTTATATGTTATAATGCTTTGGAAAAATATTAGTAGATATGATTTAAGCAATAAAAGAAGGAAAACTACAAATAATTCTGACAATATTTTTTTTGTCTTTTTTCCTTTTTATCAGTACCGGGGGTTGAACTCATGACTGCCTGCTTGCAAGGCAGGTGCTTATGCCACTGAGCTAAATCCCTAGCCCCCAGTTCTGACAATATTAAGGGTCAGTAAATACGTAAAGAAATTGAAACACATATTTAAAGAGAGAATGTACATTGGTATAGTTCTTCTGGAAGAGTATGGCAGATTCTCTTAATGTTGAGTCTACTCTTACAGTACAAACAAGCATCTTTCACATGCAAAGATCCATTGCCCAAGAACTAGGAATTAAGTAAGAAAAATTAGGGCTAGGGGTTTAGCTTAGTTGCACAAGCACATGCCTGGCAAGCACAAGCACGAAGTGCTGACTTTTATTTCCAGTACAAAGAAAAAAAAGAGAGACATAGAGACAGAGAGAGAGAGAAAGAGAGAGAGAGAGAGAGAGACAGACAGACAGACAGACAGACAGACAGAAACAGAGAGACAGAGACAGAGAGACAGAGAGACAGAGAGAGACAGAGACAGAGAGAGAGACAGAGACAGAGACAGACAGAGAGAGAAAGTGAGACAGAGAGAGACCAACAGAGAGGCAAAAAAAAGGATTATTTTAGTTCACATTTTGCACAGGTTTGTTGGCTCCAAGGCAGCCCAGATAGCAGTTGGGGCACTGGAGAGAAGAAAAGCCTGTGACAGAGGAGCAGAGAGGAATAAGTGGATGAGGAGGGAGACACATCCTTCCAGTTAGGTTGCAGGGTGATTCACTTCTTCCCACCAGGCTTCACTTCCCAACATCACTCCCAGCTGTAAACCCATCGGGGACAAATCCAGTGATAAGTGTCATATATCCATGATATAGCAACCGCCCAAGATACAGCCCTATAAATGTATAAAGGGTTATCTGGTTACAAACCATAACACCACGTATTTATAAATGATAAAAAGTGAAAACATGTTCATATAAAAATGTTTACCTTAATACTTGTAGCTGTTCTATCTAGAACCACTCCAAACTGAATCAACACCAGTGTACATCATAAAGGAATAAACAAATAATAGTAAATCTGTTCTGTGGAGTTGTCCTCAATGAAACATTAAATTCTATCTATGTTAACAAGGATGGACATGTAGAGCCTTACACAGAAGGAAAGCGACAATTTTTAAAAGATTACACATTATGTGAACACTAACGGGACACCTGCAAAATACAAAAGTGCAGAATAATCAAATTGGTCAGTTGTATCCATGACCAGTGTGTGAGAGAATCTGATCACAAAGGAACAGCATGGGAAATTTTATTTGTGTAATGGAACCATTATGTGACTTTTGTACTGTGGCTATAGAAATCAAACCACTCATTAAAGCTCACACTGATGTTAAATGCAGCAAAATTTATCACACATATTAAGAAAATGCCCCCCAAAATAAATGGTGATGAAAACAAAGGACAGAATAACTGTATTAGAGGATAAAGCCATGATGACGTAAGTGTATATTTCAGGTGTATTTCCCATGCAGGAAACTGAGGCATGAGATTCACACACTTGTGTTCCCCTGAATGTGATACTATTTTGGATAACTGAGAACACTTTGATTATTTTTCTATTTAAAATATTGTAATTTGATTTTATGTGTGTCATTTCATAACCAGAACAGATAACCCAAAGTACATAATAGGATACAATCCATTTTATTGCTAGTTTTGCAAAATATTTGAGAACCTGACCTGGGATAGGCAGTGCGCATTTGCCTGTGAAACTCTGTAATAAGGATTTGATTACAATAAGTGCATATGTTGATCTACATGCGTATTCATATATTTGTGTTAATCAGAGTATAAGCAACAATTTCATTACACTGCAACATAATATTTAATAACAATTTATGAGGGAAATTAAATGATTAGAAGAACCGTGGAAAGACTGAGTAAAACAATGTGCTCTAGTATAGGAAGATCCATGCCATGACCAATGTGTCAGCTCTCACTAATCTTTAGGGGATATTATGCATCCACAACCACAATGAGAGGAGAGTTAGGGTCATCATCAAACTGTGCCTATTCTGGCTCCTTAGGGAGTGGACAGATGTCCAGATGTCCCGAATCTTTGGACCAAAGTCTGAAGAAAGGTCTCAGGGATCCATAAAAATCACTTTGAGAAAAGGTGTAGATGTGGCTGTTGTCTGTCATGTTGTAGAAGGAGACTTGTCTATTTTCGTAGTCTAAGAAAATGCCAACCGTGCGAGGGGGTTCTTTTAGATTTAGTTGAGTCTCTGGCGAGGTGAGTGCCCAGTACTCATCATTATAAAGCCTAATGGCCCAGAAACCGTCCTCAGGTTTTATGTAAGTCCTTTCCTTTCTCATTACGTTACTCCGACAGATTCCCAGGTCCCAGGCTGTACTGCTGTCAACCTTCACCTCCCAGTAGTGCCTCCCTGAGTTGAAGGACTGTTGCCCCAGCATGCAGGGAAGGGATTCAAATCTCAGCTGGCTGCTAGGAAGATCTTGAAGTTTCTCCCCCATTGTTACTCGTCGTCTATCTTCAGACAAGATGAGGGCAGGATGGGCTGTCTCTGGGTCGAGAGTCACATTCACTGCAAAGGAGACCAACCTTTTAATTTCTGAGAAGACTGGAGTGATCTTGTACTGAGGATGGCTTTGAAGCCTGAGATGTCTGGGAGCAGTGAGGAGCATATACTGCCCCGAGCCTTCTGTCACCTGTCCCCTAGTTAGAGCTCCCCTGAGACTGTGCAGAGCTTGAATGAGTGCAGTCACTCTTGGATGGTCAGACTCACCAGGTTGGTAGTATTTTTTCCTCCAGTCTGAAAAGAGCAAAATATATATTATTAGAAATTACTTTTCAATTTCTCACACGAAAAAATGTTTTCCTTTAAAATATTTTCTTTTGCTTGTTTTCCTGTTTGGTAATATCTCAAACTTATTCTGCACCTCTTATTTGAAACAAGTTTTCCACTGTCCATCATTAAATGTTCATATAGAAATTAACAGCTCTGGTTTGTACCTCCTGTGGTGTAGACTACAGACATAGAATAGGATATAGTTACTCTCTTCCTGAGAAACAACGAAATCACACATTCTGCAGCCAGCTTCCTCCGACATTTATGTGGGTGAATTATCCCACTGTGGCCGATGAACTATGCACAGCGGTCACTGTATCATTCCCACACCAGAGTAAACCAGCTGAATTTCTCCATTCTCGCTCTTACTACAGCAGCATCTTAACCCCTGGTAGGAATGGGCTGTAAGTAAATTGGTGAGTGTAGAAGACTAGGGTATTAACAACTCCTAGTATTAAAGGCACCATTCTCAAGACAGTTTCCAGGAATATTCAGAGGTATTCAGATTATAATTTGCATGAGTGTGGACTACCTTATATTTGCACCTGACAACTGTGCTTAACTCCCTACTGAGTAGTCAGTCCATGTTTTACAAAAATCACAATTAGTAATGCTGCACAATTTAGATACGCAGGCTTAGAATGAACTCCTATATTGATTGCTTCCAATTTGTCCTCTTGATTGAGTTTAGGCAGCAGAATTAGGAAAGCAGAGAAGGCTGTCTGCCTATACAGTCGTCCATGACAGGCAGCAAGGAAATCTTATTAAAGCTATATGTGTTATGTGGAAAGCAGATCATGTGGCAGTGTCATGTTGTTTAGAAAGATATTTTGGTGAATCACATTGTCGCTCACTAAATGAAGTGCTGTGTGCAAGCACTTGGAAGGTCTGCATGGGAAAGCATCAGTACTTGGGCATGACACCATTCATTGAGGGTGTAATGGTACACTATTGAAGATAAATTATTTGTAACATAATTATTCACTTGATTAAAAAATGAACTAAATAAGACATCTCTATAGTTGAGTGATTTTCAGGCTGTATAAAATTTGACTCAATGAGTTACATTATGAACAAGGAGCCAAAATCAGTTCCAAATCTTTTTTTGTAAATAGAATCATGCAGGAACGAGTCACAACAATTCATTCATTTATTGCCTATGGCTCTTTTCATGCATAAGGGATAGAACTGACCAGTTGTGATGGGGACAATAAAGCACATAATCCTTAAAATACTCATTATCTGCTCCTTCATAGAGAATTTCTTCCACCTCTTTATAGACCAACCATAATAAGAGACAAAGATTAAAAATACAGAAATGAATGCTGTAATTTGGTTAATGTATATAGTTACTTAAGGAATACAACAAATTGAGATGATAGATTTCACAGCCATAATGAGAGCACCTGTAAAGTGGGATCTGAAAGAACATAAATCAGCTAGGCAAATGGGTCTGTAAAGAAGCTTTGGATGTCATTGTTGATACATAACACTAACTGGATGCCTATAAAACTTGGAGAAAGGTGACTTAGCATGCCAAGTCATTTCTCTGAAAGACTAAGAGAATTAGTTTTTCAAAGATGAGCATTTTAGAGTTCAGGAAATTTGGAAAGTCACACACCAAACTCAGAAACACTAATGTAGGAAATGTGTGATGATTCACAGAAAATGTCACTACTCTGGATGGTAGGTCCTGCTACCATCCCTAATTGCCTGGTGCTGACTCTACCAGGTCACTGCAAATCATGAATTCCAGTAGTGTAGTTGCTAAAGGGTTTAAACTGTTAGATATAGAGTCCTAAAAATTAGATGGCCTAGGAATCTGTTAAAAGCAAAAGTGCAGGACTGGAGCCCTCCAGAAACATTTTCAAACAATTGTGGTTGGCTCTTTTTGCCACTACTACCATGTTATGTGCGGGGTTGGGCAAATGACTTTTAAATATTCTCAAGTTCTGCAAAATAACCTCTGTATACCTTAGTGAGCTTTGATAGATCCCTGTTCCCTTGGAGGCTCCAAATACACAATTTTACATATATGCTCAGTATGAAAATTAGTTCTTATCTATTTATCCATCCTTAGTTGCATATTTTACACCAAGTATGTTCATAGTGAAATGTGAGGAAATCTATATAAGTGCTTGAAATCTGAAGGAATTTCTAAAGCAAATACAATGTCATGAACCACTGATAAAATGTTATTTGCTCAAAGTGCTTAATCACAACCTTTTATTCCTACTATTGCCGAACCGTGAATGAGTCCTATGAAGGCCAGTTAAACAAGATAATGAATAATGCTGAACAAAGACCTAGTCACACATTAATTGAGAGACAGAATGTGAATTTAATCTCTGCAAGCGTTAAACAAACCTAACACATCCATAGCATTAGCTGTCTCCACGGGAGAAACAAAATTGGAATCTATAGTCAGTATTAGTTAATTTACAACCAAATTGTATAAGGCATGCACAGAAGAAGAAAGCATGAAATATACCCAGGAACAGAAGCATCAGTAGTAACTATTTGAAACGGCACTCACAACTGGGAATGAGAGACACAAACCTCAAAGTGGAAATCATAAATAACATTAAAGAACACTGAAATAAAGAAAAGTATGGCACAATCACTGTTAAATAGGGAAAAATTAACAACTATTGAATTTGTAGAGAAGGTAGTTTCAACAGAGTAAACAAAATTTTGTATTGATTTCTTAGTATCTAGTTTTATTAACTTTTAAGTGTCAGGAGAAAGAGGGAGAAAAAAACGAAATATTTTAAAAGTTATTGTACTTGGTAAGGTAATTATGGAACAGAAGTTAGGCAGTATATGTTTCTCTCTGTGTTTTGTACTATGCTGTCTACATGATTATATGTCTTTGGATCAATGGTAATTATCACAGGACAAAGTCACTCACCAGGGTACAAATATGAATTCTGCCAGCCTGCAAGTGTACAAAATGAGGAGACATCATTTATGTTTCTGGTTCTTGTCATATTATTTCCTCTTATTTAAATTGATTATTATGCAAAAAAGGTAAAACAAAGTAATACTAGAGAAACACAAGGTAATACATTGCATATTGTTATCTTAAAAGTGGTTACTCAGTGTACAAGATATGGGCATCAAATATTCTCTAATTGACAGTACCACAGAACCTTCCTTTTCATTGAACTAAAAGACACTATTATACAGCTGAACTGAATTTTTCCCCTAACCATCGTTCCTTTCTCTTTCCACCATCATGTTTCCTTTTTCCTTGTGAAGCATTTCTTCCCTTTTCACATTAACTGTTGTACATTACTGACCTTATTAAGTATTTATTTTCCCACACTGGGAAGACAATATGATACTTACACTTGTGAGTCTGATTTACCTCACTTATGAATATCATCTCAAGTTACATTCACTTACCTGTAAAAGTCTTGAATCAATCCTTCTTATGGTCGAGTAGTACTGCATTATATAAAAATATCACATCTTTTTATCCATGCCTCACTTGGTGGGTGTTTGGGATGCTTCTAAATTTAGATATTACAGACTGTGCTGCTATAAACATGGCTGCACATATATTGCTGTGGTATGATGTTTTTAATTCTTCCAGGAAGGTACCATAAAATAGTTAGAGAGAATGGGACATCTAATCCTACTTTTGAGGAATTACCACACTGAAATCCACAGTGGGTGCATCAGTCTGCACAACTAACAACAGTAGAGAAGTGTTTATTTTTCCCCACTGCCCATCCACTTTTTAGTATTGATTGATTCCTTGATAGCAGTCATTATTTCTAGAGCAAGATGGAATCTCAATGTTTAAATTTGCATCGCTCAAATAACTAATGATGCTGAACATTTGTTCATGTATTTATTTTCCATTTCTATTTCTTCATCTGAGAAGTGTGCATTCATTCTCAGATGCCCATTTTTGGATTTTTTTAGTTTTTAAATTCTTTATGTGTTCTAAATAGAAGTGCTTTGTCTGAGCACTTCAAATTTGGCTAAAATTTTTACCATTCTCTGTGTTGTTATTTTATGTTGTTGATGAGTGCTTTTGATGTGAAAAAGCTTTTTAATAAGACAAGACCCCTGTTGCTTATTCTTTGAAGTATTTCCAGTGAAGTTTTTTTTATGAAGTCTCTGCCTATAACCTATGTCTTCAAGATTGCTACCTGATTTCTCTTTCAGTAGATTTGGCTCACGAGAAGTGTTGGGTGACTTCTTGGTTCTTTTCCTGGCCCACAAGTGCTCCTGGCTCATGGAAAAGGTACATTGACTTGTTGGTTCTCTTTTTGGTCCATGACTGATGCTCTCTGTAACTTGTTTTTTTTTTATCTTGAATGAGTCTTGGTCCTTTTATTTTATCCTTGTCATTCTGTAAATATTCAGCTGTATTTTTATCTGTGTCCCTATTCTCACTCACAATAATTCCTTTTCTTTTTTTACAATAATTCCTTTTCTCATGTTAAAAATATTTTCCTCTAGTGAACAGAGAAATACAAATATCCCAAACACATAAGGATTTATAAAAAACATAAGCTAAAACCTAGCAAAGAAAGGAAATGACAAGGCAAAAAAAAAAAAACCCAAACAATGCAAAGAAATATGGAGAGTTTGAGAAATGAAGATGGAAAGGAGGAAAAATACAGAAATAAATGTAAAGAGGGAGACAGGAAAAAGAAAGAAAGAAGCAAACATCAGATAGAGAGCAAGAGAGGGAGACATAAGCATAAAAAGACAAGAATTAGAATAAGGGGAAAGAACAGAGGTTGAGACAAATATTTAAACAGAGAAAAGTCAGTGGGAATAGAAGTGAAAAGAAAATTTACCAAATGTGCATAAAAGTACTTTTCCATGCACATTAAAATATTCCAAACCAGAAAAAATTGAATTCCTTTTATTTCATCCTTCATTCCCACACAGTGCATTCAGGCAATATTATCTTAGGCCTGATTTTCTGCACTTATTTTAGGAGAGGTTAAGGCATTGTATTATTTATGGCATTGGAACTGTGCGAAAACTGCTGAGCTACTTACCATTCTCAAACTGAGCTTTCCTGTCACCTGAAAGGAGATGAGCACGTAAGTTCGAGCCTCTTAATGAAATAAAGACACATAAAAAAGACATGCATTCCTCTGAGACTCATTACAGTAATTAGCAGTGTAACACTACCCAAGTCATTGCTGCTTTCTTATATTGATTCTCATGGAAGAAAATCAAGCTGAATCATATAATAGTAAACATTTCATCAAGATAAGCAAGCAACTTATTTCTAGCATTTTAGCTATTATAGACTGGCAAGTTGGAATTTCAAATGGTATTCAGGTAATTTCTTTGTTATTTTTCTCTCATTGCTGAGACAAAATACCTGACATCCAAAGTCAAGCAAGGAAAGGTTTATTTATCTTACAGGTTTTTGGAACTTTCAGCCCATACTCAGCTGGCTCTAAGGCAGGGTGGCGTGCCTGAGAGGCAGCCATTCATGCTGGCATCAAACAACAAGAGCCAAAGTGCAAAAGAGGGAAAGCAGCCTCCTTTCCTCCCTTGCGTTGTATGCTGCTTCCCTGCCCCTGAACGGGTAAGGCACTCACACCACCAATCCCAGTATTAGACACTGAACTAATCACAATGCTAGATTCAGCTTTCTCCATGATTGCTTGAGGCTTGTTGTGGGGGTGGGGCATCTGAACATAAACAGTAACAGATATGCATAGCGATGAACGATGAAGTGAAGCAATTGATTCCTTCACAGATGAGAGAAATTTATAAATATTTTAATTGGAAGAGTACAATACCAATTTCCTTTCGCAGCTTTTCTGAAAAACAAATGTGAAAACTCTGTTTTAACATCAAAGAGTGAAGAAAACCCTTGCTTGGTAGGATTATGTAAAATGACATGGGTTAGTTTATTAAGATTTTTAAGATCACTATATTTATTTTGAACACTTCTTGAACAAAGGCAAGGAAAGAAAAAACATAATAAGTATACACGGATAACTTTTCAGCTGAAATTTAAGGAGGGAATGATCAAATTCTCCAATGAAGTATTTTTTTTTTACCTTAAATTAGAACATTGATGTTTATGGTGTTGCCCTGTCATATGCCACCTGTGCAAATCTAGCTACAAGTTTTCATTGTTTTCCATAAATTAGGCATTTGCTAAGCCATTTAGCCAACTACTGAGTTGAGTGCTAACCAGGTCGTGTGCAGTGTTGCTCCTCCGACTGTAGAAGGGTGAGGAGAGCACTTGTGCAAGTCTGTTAGACTCTAAAGTGGAGACTGAAACCCTGCGCCATGGTCCCTCACTCACAGAGCAGCCAGCTGTGGTTTCAGCCCCCAGGCAGCGAGGGTGGCATTCTCCTACATGAAACCACCCAAGGACAGCTCTTAAATTACTCTTAGAATAAGACACTGGGCAAGGGAAGTGCAATGAGTTTCAATCTCTTACCAAAAGTTCATTCATCTGAGAGCCCAGACAGGAGTTATTTTTAATGTCCTGGACAAGCTAAAATATACTGCAATGCAGAAACAGAAAGGTACATGTAAAAGCTGAATGAACTGGTTGGATGATATGAGGAGAAGGACGAAGAAAAAAGGAAGAAGTAGAGATGGCAGAGGAGGAGGAGAACAGGGTTGAATAATGGGTTTTTATTATTGAGACTCCAGAAAAATTGCAGGGATATTTCTAATAATGAGACAGTAAGAATGCAAAAATCAAGTATGTATAAATAAAGATAAGGAGATAACATTTTGTACATGAAATGTTACTAAACTTTCCTATTCTTTTACTTACACTGATGTGAGAAATAAAAAATATAGAAGAATTACAAAGAAACAAAAGTTGAATAAAATGTAGTATAAAATCATTGATAGCTTGGTGTGTTGGCAGAAGCCTGTAATTTCACCATTTGGGAGACAGAGGTGTAAGGACTGCTATAGGTTCACTTTTACAGCAATGTCCATGAAAGCAGTAATCACAGTAGCCTAAAATGGGAAGATTACCAAAGTCCATAGGTAAGTGGTTAATAAAAATTGTGTATACTCATCCAGTGGAGTATAACTCACAAAGAAAAATAAAGTACTGACACCCATTACAACGTGTCAAATGTGGAAAATTCTATACAGCTGAAAGTAGGCAGCCACAAAATGTCAGCCTGTAGTGTCCTAGATGTGAGGTAAGCACAGCAGATGAATCCATAGAGCAAAAGCAGAACAGTGACTGTCAAAAGCTGAGTTGAGTGTGGGGAAGCAGAGCTGACTGCTCATGGTGCTCTGAGTGCATGGACTGCCGCTCTGGGAGCTATAAGCAGGTGAGAGTGGCACAGGCCTGAATTGTGCTGGAAGTCACTGAATGTGCGCTGTAGAGGGGCTGTCTCAGCTCACCATGGTTTTTTCTTTAGTTAAAGCAACTAATCAGTGCAAGCGATCATGAAAAGAAATAAGACAGCGTCAACTCAGACAGTCAAGACCTGGCCTTGCTTAAGTTCCATAATTTGTAGACATGTGATGGTGAAATATCTACCTACTTAAGTCAAAAATATCTTTTATTTTCCTGAACAAGGAGTTGGCAGTTGAAAAAGCAAACAGGAAAATTTTTGGAAACAGATTAAATAAAATAAAAATGCAAACTGAGTAACAGAAATGCATTAAGACAATGTTATATTTATCCTAAACCATGACATTGAAGATATTTTTTACCTCTTTGTTACTGCTATAAATATGGCTCTATGGGTAACATCCTGTGAGAGCAGATCAAGATTAGAAACTCATCGATTTCTGTTCTAAGTCCACTTGCAAAACAAATGAAGAGTGTTGCTGAAATCAGTGAAGTAATTTATGAATGCAATCAAATACGAGCAAATAATGGGTATGGGCAAAAGGGAACTAACTTTAGAGAAGGACAGAAAGGTTGAAAGAACATTTAAAGGATTTTGTTATTAAAGTAGATAAAAATCACAAATTGATACTTCTTTAAAGTAGTAATGAAAAGTAGAAAGAAAAGGAAGCAGTCATACATAACTGTAGGAAGATTGTATTTTCTACATAAAATGTTATTAAAACTTACCATTCTCTATTCTGAGTTCATCTGAGAAAATAAAAACATACAAAAATCACAGTCAAACATAAACAAAGTGATTCAAAGGTCATTGGTATTTCTTGAATTCTCCTCTGTACCAGGCTTATGAAAATGCTTTAAAGGGCACCATGTTTACAATCCACCATGCCCAGAAACTCAATTAGTAAGCACACGTGCATGAGTGCCACGAGATTAGAGGAAGGACACTCTCTTATTCCTAATAAACAATTTAGGCAAAGGGAATTTGACATCAATTTGCCATTTCATTTATTTATTTTGGCTGGGTCCCTGAAGGAACAGTGATGACATCGATAGTCTGTGGGAGCAGAGTGTGAACCAGACACATCCACTAATACTTCTGTTTCTTCTTTTGTACTAGATAAATCTTCTCATCAGCTACTACTGTCAAGTGATGATTTTATATAACAAAATATTATGTCTCTATAGCACCTGTATAACTCCCAGCTTTCATGAAAAATAGCCTTTCATCTTCCATTATGAGCATCTTTTTCAAAAGGTGAGTTGGTGATGCATTAATATTTAGATGTAAGGTCCCTTCAAGAGAATTTGACACCTTCAGTCTCCAGTTATGGCTTGATAAACATTAAGCTTCACTGTAGGATGATAAACTATAATGACAGACATTATTTTGAAGCACATCTAAGTAGCAGCTTGTGAAAGATATTAAGAACAAGTCAACCATTACAAAGAAGTATCAGTGAGCTGTGTTTTGTGTACTATGTAGCTTCCTGAGTAGTAAGGTTATGCATCAGTGAAGACCTGTGAGAAAACTCATGGCACTGGCTGTGACTGGCCCCATACTCAACTCCGCAGTACAGACTAACAGCCCATCACCTTTTACACAGATGAGTGCAGAACCTGCCATGGGTTTCTGTGGGAGAATTTAATTCCTCTTTCCTGTTATGGTCCTCAAAAGTTTCTCTGCTATGTACTGATACCTCATTCATTTAATATCTCTACTAACTTTTCAGTTTCATTTTCTCCTCTTTTTCTCACTCTCATTCTCACTCTCATCCTATTTGTTTGTTGTCATCTTCAAAATGAAATCCTCACATTATTGGTTACATTTTAAAAGAGTAAAAATTAAAATTATGTTGGCTAGTTGTTTTCATTAATGTACTACAATGATTTTTAAATATTTCAGTTCATTTTCTTATAGTTTATTTAAATATATACGAGTGGAGAGAATATAAGCTGGATATATTTTTTAATTTTACTAGATGAACAGTACTTAGTGTAATGGAACACTCTTTCATTACCATGTTGGGATGTACAAGTAGTTAAAATCCTCTGAAAATGTCTTCATTTCTGAGAAAAATTCCAGGCTAGAAAAAAATCCCAATTGTATAAATGAGCCTCCAATTCATATTTTTAGTATTTTCCTACATTGAAAATAGTTACACTGAAGCCAAAGTAGATCAAATATCATACTGAAAAAGCTTCGGAGGATAAGAATCGGCAAATTATACAATGTGATATTTCTTGATGCCCTTTGATTTCGGAGTGGATGTTTAGAAATGAAAATGAGGCAAAAGCAGTAAAAGACAAATTGATAAATTGAATGTAATAAAAATTTGCACAGTTTGCAGATGACAATGTACACTATCAGCTTACTGACAATAAAATAACAATTCATTTTAAAAATGATATTTCTGCCAAGAAGGGGGAAAAATGGAGACAGGCCCATGGAAATGTGCCTGGTGTCTCTTGTGACCTTGCAGATGCAAATTGAAGCACTAATACAACGGCTTGTAGGCACTCAGGAGGTACTGTTGGACAAATATACACGTGTAATAGTATTATAAGAAAAGTAAACAACTTCATATTTTGTCCTTTCTTACTGGGAATGTTAAATAGTGCTATTTCCTATCTTTTTTTTTCTGTCTATCATTCATTTCAAACTGTTTATACACAATAAGATTCTTATATGAGACTAATCATATGATATTTAAGCTTCTGAGTCAGGTTTACTTCACTTAATACTTTGGTTTTAGGGTGCATCTGTTTTTCTGTAAATGACTCAAAAATAGAGCCATTTCCACAGGACATATCAACACATTTTTTAAAACAATAGTGACTCAGCAATTACATTCCCAGACATACGCTGCATCAAATGTGAAAAATGTATTCAGACATGAACTTGTGTGGGAGCATCCACAGGGGTCACAAGCTGGTGAAACCGCAGGGTCCATCATGAGGTTAACAGAGAAAGGATTTCACACGTACATGGTGAGTGGTCCTCAGACTCAGATGTAGTTGTTGGATGGTATTCTGCCATAACAAGATGGCAAGTGTTGACGTACATCACAACTTCATGAATATGGAAAATGGTATGCCCCTAACAGAAGGCTGACTCAGATGTTCACAGACTGACAGAATAATGAGGAAACCAGAGGAGGTAAATTCACGAAGACAGAGAGTGGAACAGGGGTTATCAGAGCAACCGCAAGTGGCTTCACGTGGGCTGGAGTTAGTTTTGCATGCTGACTCTCTGGGAGGTATGTGAAGGGCTGGAAGCACTGCGAATGTGCAAAGTGTCACTGGTCTGTACACTTCACAGGAGTATTTTCATTGTGGATGAATTTTACCTCAGTAAATATTCCTAGTCAATAGAAGTGATTTTCAACTGAAATGAGTGATTCTTCCATGGAATGGAGAACCAGTTGGCGTAAATATGTCAATTTTTATGTTTATCAAGATAAAACAGTGTACTTTTGTTTAAAATATATTTCACTTTTTGAACAAGCAATTAGAAAAAAACTCGGCAGTTGAGATAAAAAGGAAAAATCTTCAATACATATGAAATTTAAGCAAA